GCCTGTGAAAACCAGTTGCCCTCCTGCTGAAAAGGTTAATGAAACCCCTGAGTTACCCACTGGGAAAGACCAACAACTAACTAACTAAAACTAAATTATTTCTAAATTACACACTGGCTTTTGCAGCTGTACTGGGCAAGAAAAAGTGCATAAAGTTTTGAAGGGGGAAGGGTTCAACTTAATTATAATTGAATAGCATAACATTTGAAAAACAATCTAGTTCTGTGAGTTTTCATTTCATTAAACATTACCTTCATCTGGTACATAGAGAGCTCCACTAGTACTTGTACTACTAAATGTATCACCAGGGACCACCTCATTACTCCTGCTGCTAGTAGATGATGAGCTCTCAACATTTATTGGCTCATCAACGAGTAAGCAGGCAGCAAATTGTTTAAGTGTAAGGTTCAATGCTGCATCCTCTAACCACAGACATCCCAGTGTCACAGGCTTCATGGGTTTGCACTTCCTTTTCATCGCTGCTTCCCAGGCCTTAGCTTTTGCAAGCTGCTGATCTTTTTTATTTTCACAATTCTTATCCTGTGTAGAAAAGGCATCTATCAGGTATAAACATCTAGTGGAAAGCTGGCTTTTTACTTTTTTGTTCTTTCAAACATATCTTTTTAGCCTTGCAAAAAATTAGTTGTAAACATCAAGTGAATATTATGGACACAACAAAAAAAGTTGGTCTTAATTTCTAGATGACCTCTCCTGATTGACGTCTTCGTCATTTTAAACATTGGTCATTTGCTGTTGCTGGTCAAAAAAGCTGATTGCCACCTACCAATGACAGGCACGAAAGATAATTAAAATGAATACCTGGCAACATGATGTGATATCAACATTTCACAACCCTGTACAAATAGCCAAAACATTAATTTGTTAATTTGCAATAATTATGTGGTTATATCCATACCTTATTCTCTTCATTTTCTCCACAATCATCCTCCTCTCCATCCTCCACTCCCTCGTCATCTGATAAGTAGCCATGAGGAACAAAGAATCCATCATCATCATCATTATTGTCATCATCACCATCAGCTTCATCTTCTCCCTAAGAACCAACATTGCACTTGTTGTTGACCATTCACAAAGCAAATAACTGGCCATTCTGTCTTCATCGAGGGCTTATAACATTTAATTATGTGGTCACAACTTAATGGTATCACAATCAAAAAAGCAGGATAAATGTAGAGTTTTTGTGAAAATTATAGAATAGATTCCATGACCTTCCAATGGTACTGAATTTTAAGCTTTTAAATGCCAATAGCCCACTTTAATATATCAAAATTTTAACAAACTTTTATATCTGGTCTTGTTTTCTTTGAATAAGTCTTATGAGAATAATCTTGGACAACTTGGGGTTTGTGCCACAAAGCCAAAGAATCCTGTTAGAATGAGCAAACATGAGCAATTGGGAAGGGGATTTTTAATTTTTCAATTTGAGATAACATGATGTTGATCATAATCTGTACCTCACTGTTTGACAGACTCTCCCCAGGTTCTTCCTCTTCCCATTCATCATCACTATCCACCTCATAATCAAGTAAGTCCTGAAAGGCGGAAAAGAAAATTTTTTCATAGAATGATACACGCACACTGTTGGAATTAGATTATTAGAAAGAAAGTATATTTGGCTTGTTTTTCCATTAACAGCAAGTTAGATTGTACACTACTGTTAGCACATTTCAAAGGTGGTTTGTTTCAGTGGCATCCACAACTATCTTAAAAAAAAAAATGGATGGAAAATTATGGTGGACGTATTAGGTGCCTGAAATTTTTTTCAAATGCACATGCAATATTGACACCTCCTTCTTAACTTGTTAATCAGCTCATCACATGAAAACAAACTTAAAGAAATTACATCTGTGACCAACCTTGTTCCCAGAGTCTCTTTTCTTCCTGTCCCCTGGAGCAGGAATAAGAAAGGCCCTGGGAACGAGTTGAACTGTGACGGTGCTTGGAAAGGTGCTTATAACTTTATTTCTCTGTTTTCTCCTTGGTTTCTCAAACACTCAAGACATGTTTCCAAGCACCTCAGAGTTTTTCAAAAATGGTTTATTTCTCTTCAAAAATCCTCTCAGTGTTTGGAAATGCTATGAAACATTGTTCCTCAGGTTTGCTGTACCACATAAATAACAAGGTTACTTTACCGTGTCCTTTTTGAATGGGTTCTTTGGAGATATTTGCTTGCTCCTCTTTCTCCATGTACCATAATAAGCTGGCCTGTAGTTTTTGTGGAACTGAAGCAGCTTGCACTTCAGGCCCACAGAGAAAGATAGATTGTTCTTTTTCTCAATGATTTCAATACTTGAATTACTGTTCTCATAATCGATAACTATAGTCCCTTCAGGCATCTTTTCATCTGAGTCACATCTGGGTTGTTCTTCAATAATAGTAAGTCTTCTTTTTGTGTACTTAGTTATTGGTTTTCTCTTCTCTAGCTCCTTCAGATATGGCTTGTAGCCCTCCTGTAAAGAATGAGTCCAAGGATAAAATAATTGTTTGTCCACCATGGTCTCAAGTCTCATTTTGTTTCTAATACATTCAACTTTCTTGTAAAGCAGTTTTTGCATGTATTTTAATGGTTGAATTTGATTTTATTGTGAGGTAATATTGTGTCAGATGTTGCTAAACAGGATTGACAATATTCTCTTTTAGAAGAATTGTGACATTGCAAAAATGTGGGTTGTCCAAAGCAAAACTGATCTCTCTTATCACCCAGGAAAACCTTTGTTTTTCTGATCTAAGGCATGCAGTCTTCAATGAACCCAATGAGAGCTGAGGTTACTCAGTAACAATGATTTTGCAATCAATTTCTGGATTTATGAGTGACTGTGTAACACAATCAATCAACTGTTATATAAAAGTGATATCTCGCACTCTCAACCTGAATCTGCAGTAAATATAGTTGATTGATTGATGAATTCAAGTATGAACTTCTTACCTGGTGTCGTAGTCCTTCATCTAAGAGTCTTTTTGTTTCAAGTGATAATTGTTTGCGTATCTCTGGAGCAAGGCTCATTCCCTTTTTGGGCTCAAATGGTTTGAATCGATGAACAAATGGCTCGAATTGAGTGCTGGTCTCTATTGATGTGGTCTGAAACAACATCAAATAGTAAAAGTATTGTTTGCGTTTATAGAGTATTTCATCTGGCCTGTAAATCTATAAATTATGCACACCTGTTAAATTGCAAAACATGTTTAAAATTGCTAACCTCCACCCTCCCCTGCCCCTTGCCAGAACTTAGCAAATTGTTCTTTAGCAGATTCTGTCAAGTCATCATTTATTCTTAACAGTATAATCCCACAAAAACTATGTAGTAACTACAGTATGTCTATCACCCTCATTGGTTAATCTATGTTCAAGCAAGGACAAAAACTCCCACTCCCAAGCACATGGTGAGCAATTTTTATCAACCTGAGCTTGGGAAAGATTCAGTTTCATTTAGAGTTTACTTCATCAAGGCTGTCTAAGAAAAATTACAAGGAGCCCAAAGGTCCCAACCATGAAATCCTGGGTGCCAGCACTTAAGCTTACATGAAAAAAAAGTTAGGTTTTCCCAGTCACTTAAAGGCAAAAGTTAGTTGCCTGTGGCACCCGGGCACTTCTAAAGAACAACCCTGAGCATTTTTCTTTGGTACGTGGTAAAACTAATGATACCTTTGGTGGTAAAGTAGAGGTCTTGGTAAAGAAACTGACAAAATTTTCTTTGGTCTTGAGTCGCTTTCTTTCCTGATAGAAAATATTAATTTACAGCAATCAAACATAAGACAAACATTACTAATGGAGCGGAAAAAAGTAACAAATAGCACATATAGCAAGCTGGTTTTTAGTAGCAGTAAAACAAGATGTATAATTTTATTTAAAATGCATGCTTTCCCACATTCTCATCTTAAAAGCTTTGAACAACCAATAGTATACCTGTTCTTCCTCTACATTTCTCTTTTCTTCTTCTCGTTTTCTTTTTTCTTCTATTTTTGCACTAAAACCAAACAACAGTGTGACAAATAATATTCAACATTATTACATGGCTTGTGTTTGTAATGAATAGAACATGTGCTCTGATTGGTTTATTTCTAGGGCATTATTCTCTCATAATGCCCAACAGCTGATTACAGGCCTGTAAAAACAAGGTGAAAAGCCATATAATAAATAACACATTAACCTTGAACATTTGGTGTTTATGGGAAAATCTCAAATCTTGGCCTTGCTGTATTGACCTCGCTATTGCTGGGTCAATATGGCTTGATCTTGTTTGGGATTTTCCTATAAAGACTTCACCCCTGGTTATTAAGTTGTTGCTTTTGATTTGACTTCATGCATATTTGCCAACCCATGAATCACCCAGTCACTTCCTTTGGTAAGAATAACGATCCCAGAATAGTCAATCAAAACAAGTTGCCCTTTAGCCTTGGGCTCACCTCATTCCTCTTGGCACCTTAATTACATGCAACATCCTGGTGCAAAACCCAAACAGGCATACATGTTGGCTAGTTCTCTTTGTATAGAACTCAACCGACCAAATTCATGTAAGAAGTTCTCTAGTACCTGGAACTAAACACAGACTAAGCCCATACATGTAGGTTGGCTGGGTAGAGAAGACATATTTTGAGGGTACAATGTACACAAACCTCACTTGCACCACTTCTCATTTGTGACGCCAAATTGTCTTATTACTGTAACTCTATTCTTGTATTTCACTGGCAAACTATGCAGGAATTTTATTTTATCCTGCAACTTAACACTCTATCAAACATGAAAGAAGACATTTTACCACATTTCCAAAAAGGGAGAAGAGAGTTGAAAATAAAACACACAACAGACAATTTTTTAAAGAACTTTGAGGTGTTTGGAAATGTTGTCAAATAGGGTCCTGAGTGCTTCATATATATTGTATCCTCTCAAACAAAACTAAATCTAAAGAGAAAACAGAGAAATAAAATTATAAAACTTTATGCTCATTAACACCAGATCTCCAACCACCACCACAGTTATAGTTTAAATTTTTTAACTTGATGAGTTATTAAATAAATGAGTTTTAGAAAACTACATGTATATAGATGTTTTCACTGAACCACCCTGTTTCCAGAGCATACATGAGAAAGAAAGGTTCTCCAACAAAAACACCTGTTGGAGAGCACTGCAAAAATTGGTTCGATGTCAGACTGTAACCCAGAAGTTAGGGCTGCAACAAGTTCACTTGTTCAGATGTCATTTTTTTCCTGCTTACTGGGAAAATTAAGAATCTCAGCCTGCTGACAATGTGGTAGCGCCTGCATATATAGTTTTCTGTACTCTATTTATATCCCTTAAGAGAACAACCATACTTTTTTTCCTCTTCCCGTTTTCTTCTTTCCTCATCTCTCTTTTCTTTCTTTTCTAGTCGTTCTTTTTCTTCCTTCTCCTTCTTTTCTACTCTCTCCTTCTCTTTTCTTTCCTTCTCAGCTTGCTTTTCCTGTCTTTCCTGGTCACGCTTTCTTTTGGCTTCTAGCCTTTCCCTTTCCTTTACTGCCTTTGCCTCCTGTTTTTCTTTCAGTTTCTCTTCTTTCAATCTTTGCTTTTCCTGCCTTTCTTTTTCCTACAATCAAAAGAGAAAACTACTTGTTACATTTTAACCTTCAACCAAAAGATAACTATGGAGATATAAATTCCTTTTTTAAATTGCTCTGATTGTACAGAAGTCTTTTTCAATCAGCTACTAAATGTATAGTTTCAGAAGTGTTCAGTACTAGTGCAAAAAAATCAGAATAAATGGTGTCACATTTTTACCCGTTCTTCTTTTCGCTTTAGCTTTTCAGCACTTTTTAGCACTGGCGTCCTCCTGTTGTCCTAATGAAACACAAACAAAACATGTAAAATAAAAGAAATTATTTTAAAAGATGTATTTTCATTATTTTACTACACTATATTTTTGCACAAGTTAGACCAGAAACAAAGATACTGGAGTGTCGTGTGCACAATTCAACATAGCTTAATTTCTATACGCCAAAAGAAATCTATTTTCAAATTGTTACAAGCACTCAGGTATAAATCTCTAATATTGACTGGGTTGCTCAAACCAGACAAGAAAATTTTTAATCCTTGGACTTGCTGCACCTTGTGCTAAGTGCACTGTGACCAGCGGTCCAGCCAAAGATTTTCCTTTCTGGTATTTCTACTCAGTGTGAGTGATGCAGTGGAGCATTCAAGCCTGGCTTGGGTAATTGTATTATTCCTTAGTAAAGACATGTTACTTTATCAATCCCTCTCCTGACATGGCCACAGAGGGGTACTATCGATGTACTTATAGTCAAGGAAGAAATTGCCGATGGACCGAATCTTTCATTGCAGCCACTGTGGCAGGGTATGCCTGTCCCGCATAGCTCCTGTCAGTAATGAGCATGCCTGCAGCAGAGTAGGATCACCCATTCTTAGATCATTGTTTGCGAAGCCATGCCAAGAGAATAGTCAGGGAAGTATCTGAGAACCCTAGGAGGAGTATTGGTATTCAAGTTTTAGATCTGGTCTAGGCAAGTGACCTTCAGAATTGCATCAAAAAATATGTATAGTTTATTTGCCTAGAAAAGGATTCAAAATTCTAAATAGTACACCAATTTCTGTCTGCGGCAAGGGCCAAAAGCTCCGTGTGCATTGAGGTTTTGCTTACCGTTACTTTTGTATTGACAGCAACGTTCGCTGGGGGAGATTGATCTATAATCATTAATTCATCTTCATTGTGAGATGAGGAATTGGATTCTGGTGAGGAAATGCTGTTTGAATCCCTTTGTCCACTTGTCCTTTCCTCCTTATTCTCCAAACCCAAATTCTTGGAAACTTTAGAGGGATCAGTTGAAATCTGTGGCTTTACTGAATTGTCTTTTACATCAGGAGGAGAAGGTGCCCCAGTTACTAGTCCTCCATTTGTTTGAGGGGCCTTTTCACCAGACTCTGGTGGTTTGCTTTCAGAGTTATTGTCTCCAATAACATTATTTTTGGAGGAAACTGAAGGTTTGAAACAACCAGGAGAAGTCAAAGAAGTTGAAGTTAAAACTGAAAAGGGTAACACAGCTGCAATATAAAAAAGATTTCAAAGAATATCAGTCATCATATTTTTATGCGAGTTGCCTAGCTAGTGGCGAGGGTTGTCTTGAGTCCTCAAGACCATATAAATAGGGTCTCAATGTTATCCAGCCTTTACTAACTTTATGATTTTCGTCAAAATTTTAACTTTTGAAAATTAAGTTCACTTTGCTGTACATGTACAAGAGGCTTTGAGTTTCACTTAAACAATGATAACTATGGTTCAAGAGCAGCGTGATTAGGAAATAACTTCACATGTTGGTTTAATTGAGATTAAGTGTTGCATTAGGCTTGTACAATAAGCTTCAGCTTAGCTCATCCCTCAAAAGTACAATGTCTATTAAAATCTTCCACTGACCTTGTTTCAGTCTCTTGCATGGCGGGCTCTCGCAGTCATCTCTCTCGGAATCATTGGCACATGCTGTATAAAAGGACACAAATGATTGCACTATACAACAACAACTAAAAATATAACGAAGCTTAAATAAGGTTGATGTTATTAGGGTTAAATCGAGAACTGACAAATTTTGAAGGACAGAAAATCTAACCTTCGCTACTCGTTTCGCCTTGAACGCGTTGTTCCGAAGTTTGGCCAGGATTTCTCATAGTTTTAGGGCCCACCATGTAATCTAAACCCCTAAAAGAGCATCAAGAAACTAAAGAAAGGAAGAGAAACGTGAGGAAAAAGAGAAAAGAGAAGATTTCAAGCCAAGAACCTCAACATTTGCGAGCTGGAGTGAGCGCGGTCTTCAAAATTGGCGGGAAGGTCATAGTTTGATGCATCCTGGGAATGTTTTTGACCTACAGGATCTGGAACCCAGTATTTACTTTCGGGAGAAATGAGTGAAAATACATAACGCACCCAGCGGCCAAGCAACTGCGCTGATCATAACCTTCCCCTCTTGGGCTTATTTGCCTTCCTTACTTCTGAATGTTGTGATTGCGAATTAGCGCCTTGATTGTTGAAAAATGAATGCTCCCGAGTCATTTGAGCCTTTCCTTTTGTTGGATGGAGAAAAAAAGTAAGTAACCTTAAATACAGACCTGTAAAAAGTTGTAGGAAACACAAGACACATGCACAATTAATCATGCAGTATTATGTTTTCTAGCTCTAAGCTCGACTTGACCCCGACTTGTAGGCAAGTCAACGAGTTATCAAAACTGTTCATCAGTACCATCGAGCTGACCAAATAAAAACATTAACAGAATAATGAAACGGCCATCAGCAATGCTTTACAAGCTCACTCTGTAGTTGTGCAACGCGATGGAAAGAAATATGAATGGGCAATACAATCTTGAAATCAAGACAGAAAAGAAACCAACAGAGTATTTTATTTTCAGGATCACCATAACAAAGGATACAAAAGTACCAAATGCAGCTCACTTTGTTGTAAATAAAGAAGATCACACATTAGGAAATCTTCTAAGAGCGTAAGTTAACAATGGATTGGTCAAAGTAGAAAACTTCTGGTGGGAAATTTCAATCTGAGTTTCAACTTGAAAGTCACCTCAAGGGGGCAAATATTTTATACTTAACTTTGGTGTACACATTTACCAGCTGAAGAAATTTTGGATGCGTTAATTTATCGGTAGTAGTGAACAATCTTATGGCTCCCATTTTCAGCTGTCAGTAACCTGTCAGGCAACTGTCGGGCAACATAATATCTCTCTTTTCTTAATTAATTCAATATGGTGTCATTGTTAACTTCTGTAAACCAAACTTTATTCATTCTTCTGTAACTTAATTGTTGAAAAAAGAATGGTAATTGTTGTAGTTGTAGAAATAAATAAATAAAGGGGAAAAAAACCCTGCAATTTTACCAATTGAGTAAAAACAAAAAAAAACTGTTGGGCGACATGATACGGACACATTATTGACATTCTGCGGGTAGTAAGCCTACAATGTTAAGTAGACCAAAAATTGACCCAAAACAACTTATAGTTGAAACAGCAAATAGACCATTTGTACCTGCGACCACCTTTTGCCCATTTGCTGGTCGACTGTCGGTAGGCAATTGACTGACAGTCAACCGATGGTTGGCCAACAAATGGCCATCAGTGGCCGACAATATCTTTTGGGAACTGTTCTTCACTGTTCTTGACCAATTTATCAACAGAGCTACAGAATCATTATAAGATTATTACTTTGTTGAAGGAGGTTGTTTGTCTTCGTGTATTGGGGAATATTTGTTTTGGCTCAGTCCATAAACATCAAAACAGAATAGAACTAGACCAATATCTCCTTGAATAAAGTCCCCAAACTAGTTCATTAACAACTGCATGATGAACTTAGCAGTCAGTTAAAGCTTGTTTCTGTTGGAAAATTTATATGAAAGTTCAAACATTAAATGAAAAATTAACTAAGTCCTTTTCTAAATATTGCTGTATTTGTGCTACTCCAACAGGCAGCTTTTACGAGATCCACAGGTAATATTTGCTGGTTACAAAGTTCCTCATCCCCTTGAACACAAGTTTGTGCTACGAGTACAGACCACACCTGATTACAGCCCACAAGAGGCATTCACAAATGCCATCACAGATCTGATCAGTGAGGTGTCACTCTTGGAAGAAAGATTCAAGGTTTGCTTATTTCTCTAGTTGTTTCCATCTATTGGAAAAGCTTATTAATAAGCAACTTAGAGAGCTTAGAGCTTAGCAACTGCTCAAAACCAATACTTTAGCATAGTACATTAATGTAAAAATTATGCTGCAAACAAACAAACAAAAAATTTCCTGCAAGTCACAAAAAGTCCAAGCCTTGCTCAAGTCAAGGTAAATGTGAACTCTTTTTGTCCTTTGATGCTAAATAATAGCATATGCAGGGAAGTTTTATCATTTGTACTGTCCTCACATTGTTTTGTTTTTTTCTTTTTTCTATAGGCAGCTGTTAGAGATAAACAAGAAGGTATAGAGTAAAATGTACTGTTTCTTACAGAGTTTGAAGTAGATACAAACTTGGTCAAGATATTGACAGCTGCTTGGTACACCTGAATAATCAAAATGGAAGGAGACTCAAATATGCCGTTTTATTCATCATGTCATTCTTTGACAGATGTCACCCAAACAACCAGCTTTAGTTGACCTGTGTAGATTTGTGCTGCACGCCGGATATTTTCCTACAAACGTAATGTGGACTTTGTGTGTAGATACAGAGTTGAATGTTAAAGAAATTCTAATGTAACATCTTTTGGTTTGAACATGTCTCCATGGCTTTAACAGTAATGGTTACACAGTAGATAGTTTGACCCCAACAGAATCAGTTTTTTGTAGATTGTGAGCATCTGGGAGAAGGTACATGTAGTCTTGAAAGTGATGTTGTTATTGACTTAAAAATCCACATTAATTTGAACAAATGTCATTGTTACATTACTCATATGTTACATTTTTCTCTCCAAGTTATGATATGGCTAATACCAACATTCTTCTGTTCATTACTCAAGAGCCTAACAAGGTCAACACATAATAATTGTTCAATTTTGAGTTTCTGGTACAACTTAGTGATTTTCTGTCCAGTGGATAAATAAAGAGTTTGATTGACTGACTTATTGATTGACAAGTGGATGTCAGTTAAACCAAGAAACATACCACTTGTTAGTTGAGGGAAAAGCTTTTAATGTAAACTTGATGAATTAAAACTTGTATTTTAATAACATCCACTTAAATTTTATAGTTACAGATTATCTATCTTGAGTACTTTACACTAGCTAGAACTTATAAAAAACTAGACTCTTAATAACAAATTTCTTTATATTCCCATTGTTTGGTTCATTTTCACATTCTATCAAAATTTCTGATCAATTTACATGTCTTATTTCGTTGTATGGTTATTTCTTGGTCCTATTACATTTATTACCACAGTATAATTTCTAAATTTGTTTTAAAGCAAGAACACAACAAATCTCTAAGTTTCCAGCACTTCTTTATTCTTTGATCCACTTTCCTTCATTTATGCTTACGATTGCATCCAATTTTCAAGTGGTAACATTTGATTCAATTCCTGACACCACACCTTTAGATGAAAAGAACAAAAAAACTTTAATGATTTTATTTTAATTTATTACAAACATCGGGGGCTTCATTAAGGTTTTCAGCAGGAAGGCAATATATTATTGGTTTTCACAGGCAGGCAAACCAATTTTGACTGAACTTTGTTCTAGTAAAAACTCTCATCCAGGTGGGCAAAATCGTTGTCACAGCCAGTCAATTTTCCCAGTGCCCGGCCCTTAATTAGCTCCAAGTGAGGTTCTAAAAAAAGTACTTTTAATAGACTGTTTTTTCCAGCGCATCAGCATAAGCTGACATACACAGATGGAGAGAGATGTTGATAATTAGTGTCTTGTTAGGACAATTTCCTAACAGAAAGCAGGTGTCTACATGTGTTGCTTGTGTTCAGCTCGTGTTGTAGTGAAAAGCAGCCTTAAAGGATCAAAAAAGTTGGAAAAATGTTATCTATTCCACTTAACTATATTTTGGTAAGTCTTACATTGCCTTCCATTATGATTGGTAGTCCTGCACCTGGTTGAACCATGACATAAACTGGGGTACACTGTGGCATAGCATACTGCTGTTTAAGTACCCGTGACTTTGCCTGAAACACACAACCAACCAAACGAACTTATAAGATTCAATTTGAGTCTGTAAAATGTTAGCATAGAAGTTTTTCTCTGTCAGAATAGATTGAGACTATAAATCCACTTGTTGATGAGTTGCTTAACTGTTTTTGTTGAACAGTCACTATGCAAAAAAAATTTCCTTTTTTGGGGGAAATGTACATGCAATGTTCAATCAGTGAAAAAACAATGACGAGGGAACCAAATGTCTGCAAATACAAATACTACTGTCTGATTGGCTGTCCAGATAATGGCAGTCAGGTTTTTCTTGATTTTCCAATTCAGAAGACAATAATTTTAGGAACATTACTGTATAACTCAATCCTTTTTCTTGTTTTTCCAATTCAGAAGCCAATTTAGAAACGCTACTGTATAACTCAATTCCCAAGAAGACTAAGAAAGGAAATTGGCAATTATGTGACTTTAAAACCTCAAAATTGTTCTGCAATCAATAAACTGACAAGTGTACATTAACAGCAGCAACTTTCAAACAACAATTCAATCTATTTGTGATAATTGCTAAATTTGAAGTGTAATAAAAAAAAAATAGAACTTGACCAATACAAACCTTATGCTAGTTCAAATTGATTATATTTTGAGAAAGTACTCCATGAAATCAAATTTGCAAGGATCACAATTATAACAACTTTTGTTGAATTTAAAAAAATCAAATGTATGATCCAAAATAATGCTCTAGTCTAGCCCATTTTGTTACTTAGCAAAAATTAAAACAATCTCCTGTACATGTAATTACCTTTCGCTTAACAGCTACATCAACTTGAAGAACGTTGTCATTCCACCGTACCAAGCCCTAAAATGGAAACAATAATTTATTGCTTTTAAGGGTGAATAAAAAGTCATAGTTTACAGTTAAAAGATCGCTTGTACATCATTGTATCTTAAAAGCAAAATATTAAATGCTGCATCACAGGTGTAGACAACTGGCAAAACAGGATGGTTTTATATTGAGTGGATAAAATGGGACCATACCATTTCTTGAACTTTCCTTGCTTCCTCAGCAGTGCGAAATGTTACAAAACCATAACTGCAATGTATCAGAGAACATATTAAACATTTAATTCCCATGAAACTAAGTTGAAAACACTTGGAGCCAGTATCAGCATTAATAGTACTGTCCTCTCGACTCCGTCAAAGAGAGGTGAAGGTGCCAAACACAAAAAAATTGGTACATTCCTACAACTACATTTGTAATCTGCAAACGGATTTACCCACCACAGATGAGACTATTATTATTATTATTATTATTAGTTAATTATTTATTTATTTATTAGTAGACAACTCTCAATACATTTTAACACTGCAGAGGATAATACACAGTCCTAGAACAGTCTTTATTGACTCAATAATTAGCAGCTGTTTAGAAAAGCTTCAAAAAGTAAATGTTTACAAGTACACATTGTATCCTTACCAATCATTGTATGTAGCAAAAGGAAAAAATGGTAAAATGATATCAATGACAGAATGTCTCAAATAAGTTAACAAAATTAACGAATTTATCAGTGTCCTTGTTAACCACGCGGCCATGGGCTGAGCACGGTTCATGTTCTACCTGTGTTTTTTTTTTGACCAGACCCAAACTTCCTCTCGGCCAAATTTTGAATCACACAACCTGTGATGTCTATTTGCCAAAAGCTGTTGAAACGTTAATACACGGACAATGTTATGGATAGTGTTTTCTTTATTTGTGTGTAAAATATATTTTCTTTTGGTTTTATTGAAGCGTTGGATTCGAAGGGAAATAATAAATATGCTAAAAACGCTAAAAAAGGGGTATTGCGTCAGCCATGGGATGCGCTGACATTACAGCTTTCATTTTCGCTACGTGACAAATAAGATCATGTTTACTTTGCAAGTTTATTTTGCCAGAAGTGACGGTCATTAATTTATTTGCAATTTTGTGAGTATTTCTTGTGGGTTTCAGCAAATGAACCAAATTCTTTGGCTGTTTCATCTCAGCGAGTTAAGGTTACAGTATACCTTCAGGGGTGTCTCGCGCGCAAGCGATGTAGTGCGTGCAGTTTAAGCTGTAGATACCTAAACCCCTATATCAAATTAAAGTTTATCGAGCTGGCTATCAAACTATACCAAGAATTTTGAAAGAAAGTGAATTGTTGAATTTTTCACAACCACTAAATGCGAGCGCCCGAATCACCTTTCGAAAGCTACAAGTCAAAGCGAGTTTCGTTTTTCGCCAATTTAATTTTTTCCTCGGTTTCAGGGCCCAAAGCGCTTAAAAAACGTGTCCACGTTTTGGCATATTCGATTGCAGTAAAAAGTTACAGAACATTTTCGAAATAGGATTAAAAAAATGTGGAGTGATCGTACAAAAATCGCTCTCGAAGAA